TTGCTGATGGCAACCCTGAGTGTTTGATGCTTTGACAGCACTCATACAGAAGAATCTGTCGCTCAGTCTCTTTCCAGCAACACCGTTAGGCATCCAGGAAGTAGCATCTAGTTGAAAGACAAGTAGATGCCACAATGAGTTTCAATAGCGCCAGACTTCCAGCGTGGCCCAGTGGAGCACTCATATGCAGAATGCGATGCTGGAAGAGACTGAGCAGCTCAGCCTTGTCAGCTTGTGTTTAACTGCTGAGAAGACTTCGATCTGGACAGAGAGGACCAAGCGGTTTGTGCTGTGATCCTTTCACCTCGCTTCGTGCAATCCCATGCTGCGCGCTGTCGACCGGTCCATGTTTTCTCCCTGCAAAGCCTCGGTGGGAATGGTCGCACGACCATGGTCGCACGATTATGGGACCTGAGACCGATTCGGCAAAGGAAATACCATTTGAGTGTGTATTGTAATAGGGAGATCCCCCACAGAATGGGCTAGACTGGTTCTTTTTCATCCTTTTTCCTTCTTTCAGGGGTCGAACTGGGCTTGTTTGAACCACTGTCCATCTGGCGAAGCCTGAACAATTTCCCGGAATTCGGAGTCACTGTTTTAACATTTGCTTACCATAGAGTATCCTGTCACAGATGGTCAAGTCGACCGGGGCTGCCCCAGCATGGGTTCAGCGAGAGGTTTCAGCCACTGTTCAGCGAGAGGATTTATCTTCCGGGTCCTCCTTATGGACAGACGAGGAATGTGAAGACAGTTGGAATTTCACGAGGCAAGAAGGGTCCGCCGTTGTTCCCGCATCCGTGGCAGAAGTATGGTCAAAGGCCGGCAGCAAGTGGCTCATCAATGTTATAAACACATCTGTTCACATCCTCTTCTTCATTGAGAGTAGTTACTGTCAGGAAACCATGAGGTGTGTCAGGACACGTGAGTCAGGAAACATACGCATGTGATGCCTTTAAACCACCACCGGATATGACTCATATCCGGCAACCTAAAGTGGCTTAATGTCACAAAACGTTTTTGGCGTTGCCTGCAAAGCCATGAAACTTTCGAGGAACACACGCAGAATCGATGAATTGTTCTTTTTCGACCGTGCGTTCTGATCGTCTTTTGAGTCTTCCAACTTCCTTTTGGTAGGCGCCGCCATTTTCATGCCGTGGGATCCACACATCTCTCAAGTTCAGTAAACGAACCACACATCACCCTCCAAGAGAGGTGAGAGGTAGCCAGTGACCTGAACGTTCGGACCCATCACCTGGGGTACCGAACTGGGATAGTCGAACGTTCAGGTCCTTCAACCTGTTGGCTTATTTAAAGGAACGATGGACCTGGTGTTGTAGTCGTAGAATCTCTAGTAAAGCAATGGCTGTTCCGTCAAGCCTCTTCAATTTTTGGCCAGGAAGGCTGTTCCGTCAAGCACCATGCGAGTTGTGGACGGACACGATGAGTCAGTCTCGACAGCGAGCTAGCTCGCTTGATATGCGTAACTGACGCTCCATGAAGTGACCAAAGACTTCATGACCCCGACACGACCTGTCTGGGGCTGCCAGGACGGACTGCCGCCCTGGCGAGGTCGACCCCTCTGGCACCACCACTCCTGGCCGTTTTGAAGGCAGTCCGTGGCAGCCGCAGACAGGTCGTGTCTGGGTGAGGTACTTGAACCACCCTGAAACAGAACAAGGGTATACAATCATGGGGATCGCACGCAGGCTCTCGCAGGCTGATCGCAGGCTCTCGCAGGCTCTTTGGGCTGATCTACCAATGACTCGCTGGCGATAAAACCGCTTGGCTGAAGACCATGAAGAAACGGTACTTCTTGGGCTTCCCTCACTTAATGAGGCTGGCTATGCCACCAAGCTCGCGCACGCGCAAAGTGCAGAGTTGGAACCTGTTCCAGCAGGAATCTGAAATCAGCGCATCAAAACTTCTTGCTTGCAGCCAACCTGAGCCAAGTGTAGCAGCTGAACACTTCGAGCAGCATGAAGCACCATGCGTACTACTCCAGCTTCTTTCCTCACATGGCTAACGACTCAGCCGTGTCTGGACTCTTCTGGCTTTCTCCAAGCCACCGCACTCTTTCGCCAACCACAAGGCCCCGCACCTCAGTGCGCGGCGGGTCATGTGACCCCTGCCCCCCCAGCTTCCTCTTCTGCCAGGGTCCGATGTTCCAAGATGGCTTCGAACGATGTCCCAAGCAACGTCAGCTTCTGTCCGAAAAGGACCACGACATGCTTTTGAACATCCAACCGGTTGAACTCTTGACCTTAAAAACCGCTGGGCGTTTCGTGGCTTTTTCGGCCAAAAAACACGTGGGAAATACCGAGTTGGCAACACATGTCCATCCATTGGGAAAGACCGGGCAGAGCGGTATACGAACGCTTCTCTTTTTGCCTGTCATGAAGGTGTCGAACACGGTAGAAGGCTGGGAATATCGATTCCCTGGGAGTCAAAGACTATAAAAAGAATGGTCTTTAGGGGAACTGAAAGGGAACTTCCTTTACTTCAGCCGGTCAAAATATAGTCTTTGGACTTCTAGGGGATTATTGTGTGATTTTGGGGAAACGTCGTGCCTGGCCATACGAAGCCAGTCGGATCGGCGCTTGTTCAGAGTGGGCGCTTCGGTGATTGCAAGGTTTTCGGCGGATCGAAACCTGGAGCCCAAAACGACCCATTCCGGGGTTAACCTCCATCGTAATCGGTGGCCAGGTTTTGACCCACAGCCATATTACCTTACAAAATGGACCCCTTTTAGACTTGTGTGAAGTGCTGTTTTTTCATTGAAGCACATCGTCTTGAAAAAGCGATGGCCACCCTGAGTGTTGGACTTTTCAGAATCGCGTCGGCATCCCACTCGTAACTGAAGAATCGAGTCGACACTCAGCCGGGGGTCAAGATGAGTTTGGCTGAGATGAGCGAAGGTCGATGCGACCTGTAGCCTAGGCTTCCAACAACCATTGTTTTAATGGTCTTTACCGAACCACCATTGTTTTATAAGGATTTTACACTACGCAACCAGGTCGTTCCCTTTCTTTGAATGGTCGTTCCCGGAAGCCTAGCGAAAGGGTGTAGCCTCCAACAGCCTCGGATGACGGATCTGCCGATCTGCCTGGCTGAACGGTGAGATGTTCCACGTGGAACTCTCATCGAGTTCGAAGCATGCGGAAGGATCCGTTTCTGTGTCTTCACATGGGACACAATACGCATGCAGCCTGATGCAGATGATGCTGACCCGCGGAACAATGTTGTAAGTATCAGTTTGCCGCAAGTCACAGTTCCATAATACATCATACAACCATCATACGCAACCATCATACAACCATATCTCCCAAAATAAGAGTTATATGTCAGGTGAAGAGGTGTTTGGGACTATTTGGGGTGCACAGAAGCCTAGCCTCGGACTATTGTCAAAGGCTAGGCCACCCGCTGGCTGGCCGCTGAATTGCGGCCCTTGTGCACGGAGGAAGGCCTGGTCTTGGAGAACAGACGAACTCGAGGGAATCAGGTGCCAACAGTACAATCAGTACACTTGTATACTCTACATCTTTTAAGATGTGGGAGCAATCCTTTGACCAAAACGTTTTGTTGTCTATGTTGTCACTCCTAGCGGCGTGCCGCGTGCTGTCTCAGATGGCAGCCGTGCCTCCCTGGTGCATGACTCACCGTTTCGTGCTGGCAGTCAGGTTGGTGAAGTGCAAAATCATTCGCACAGGAACGTTTGTGGTTCGGGAGACCCCCAAAAAACCGTTCGACAACAACACTTCTACTGAAAACCAACGTGTTTTCTATTTTTTTCCCTATGAAGTCAATTTCGTGGTGTTCAGGAGTGGTTGCGTTACATTCAGTAGTCGACTGTTAGTTTGCTACATTCAGTGATGAAATCTACTTCATGTCAGATTTTGTCCGTTTTGATTGACTTTTGATGGGTTCAACTTGTGTTCACTCGTGGAAATCTGAGGGTTGAACCTCACCTTCGTGCCCTTACAAAAAGGCGTTTTTCACTCGACGAACTCGTGTTGACAATTGGTTCATCACCCAGAGACAGCTTTGGATTCATCATCACCATCATCACCATCATCATCATCATCACCACATGTTCTCACTTTCAGAATTCATGGTCAATAGTGACAGAAAAATCCACTGCTTTCAGTCTTTATCTTTCCACAACCGCGGACGGGCCTCGCGCCTCCAGCTCGGCTCCTACTTGGCCCCTTTGCGGTTGTGGACATCGTTGCCATGAGTTGTTCAAGTGCCCAGCCATTGGGGCCATAAGGGTGCTCGAGTTGCCATGAGATGCCACGCCATGCGTGGATGCCGATGTGATTCTCTGCCAATTTCAGCATTAATGCTGAAGCTGCACGTTTGACGAAGAAAGAACATGAATGTGTTCATCCCGCTCCAAAGTTCACAGGTTTCCACCCCAACCTGAAGCCTGAAAATATCTCCGACATGTACCTTAACTATAAAAAAGACTATATTAATTATACAAACTGTTCCAAACTGATTAAACAATATGAAACATACCAGCAGTCACCAACGGGGTGCGATCCGGTTAAGCGTACATTCC